CCTACTGCATGTGCTAGCTGTTAGAGATATATATGTGTGTGTGTGTGTATTTTTTTAAATAAAGTTTAATTCCTTCGTCATAATGTTCCCTTCCCAGATAACTCTAAAGTCACCAAACTACACTCATAACAGCGATCTGTTTCCTGTGGGAACGATTGTGTAGTTCCAAACTTAAATTAAGGATCCCATAGGAAAATGGGTGGTCTGGGATGGGCAAAGCACTTACGCAAATTACACAATAACAGCCGAAGATATCTGCATCAATTTTCTGGCCTCTCATATGCAAGTTTTTCCAGAGAGATCTGAAAATGACAGTACCTTGATGTCCTGAGGCAACGTCAGCCAGCGCAAGCCTGGGAGATTGTCTAAGAATAAGGCACCGCAGGTATCATAGTGCTGAACGCTGGGGCTGGCGTTTGACTTGAGCCTTGCAGGCTGAAGCGCACGCTGGAAGAACAGGTTGAAAAAATGATCCAGGCGAGAAACATTTTCCACCTGGCAAAAAGCACTGAACAAACATGAACTCCAAGTTAGAACAACATGGAGAAACTTGTAGCTTGTTTATATAACCCTCTGTGCTAAAGAAGTCTCTTTACAGCATGATACTACATTTGGATTATTTTTTATTTAACATTCAGTTTAAACATGAGAAAACCCTCTAGGCTAATATCCAGGCAGCAACTATAAACAAAGAAAAAACTAAAGCAGTATAGTATTATAGTAAATCTCTTAGAGCAACTTAAGATGGGACAATGATCAGCTTCATCCTTTTGAAAATTCAGATCATTCGTTTTCTTTATTTTAGCAATTTATTTAACTGGTTTTGGTGTGTTACAAATCAGCTTATTTTCTTCAGAAGATTCAAAGCAGCATTCTATTATTGCAAATGCTCTCCTATACATCTATCAAAATCGAGTACACCTCACATCCAAATCTATGTTTTTTCTGAGATATATTTAAATAGTTGCAGGTGTTAGAAGTAAAAGTTGCTCCTTGTCTTGAAGTGACATAAAAAAATATCCTAAAATAAGGCCTGACGTTATGTGAGAGTGCTCTTTCTAGAAACTTCTACACTGTTCAACAGAGAACAATGAACACAAGTACTGGGCTTTTCTCCACGGCATACACACGTTAACCCTGGATGGAACGCACGCGTATGAACAGCCTACCTTGGCAATTTTATTCAGGTTACAGTCACATTGAAATTTGCTGGGTGATTTCCAAATGCAGAGAAAGACAGTCACTCTGCCAAATAAAGCTGAGAAGTCTGGAGTGTTTACTTTATTAAAAATGTAACACTGATTCATATGTATGTTTTACAGACAGTGCTTTAACACGAAAGGATAACATTTGCAGAGTGCTTTTGACATCCACAGTGACTCAGATTATGTGAATGATTTAACCTAAGCAAAGACAAAACTTTCTGAAGGAACAAAGACTGTTTTTTAAAAAGAGTCTTACTAGTGTTAAGACTGAAATAAAAAGGAAGAACAACAGAATTCTGGGTTTTGTGCAACTGTAAAGGAACATGCAAGAAAAATCCATTTAAATATTAAAATTTATGCTACTGGCTGTCGTTTCCAGTGAGCATCAGTGAAAAATTAGTGACTGTAAAGAAAATACTTTTGAAAGAACTCACCTGTCTAAAGAACTGTACATAAATTTCAAGGTCCTGACAACATTCTCAATCATGTTCCTCAGCTGAGAAAGTGGCACACTAAAAAATAAAAATGCAAAGGTACAGCTATGTTTGTAACATCTTTACTATGAATAAGCGTCAGCATCTTCTGAAGATCTCTATTCTTAACTAGTGATATGGTGCAAACAAATCTTCAGACTGTATGAGATCTCCTTTGAGTGACTTGCCCTTGGAGATGCAGACAGTAGTAAAGCTGGGGGATAAGAAGTCCTCTTATAACACGTAAATATGTAGTATTAGTGTTGTTACTCGGTAGTCTCTAACCAGGACTTGACTTTACCAAACACTGAAAATTACTGTTTCCTAGCCTACACGTATTTCTGAGATCTAACGAGACCTTATTCCCTTCAGAGAACATGAAAAGGAAACTGTAACAATGGATATACAAAAGATGCAAACAAAACCAATCAAAAAACTGGAATCACAGGTATAGAAACTAGTTATATAAAAAGAGCAGATTGTAAGCCCTCCCTTTTTTGCTTTTTTGATAGAAGAGTACAATGCGAGGCACACAATAGGAAACAAAATAAAAGAGAAACAAAGCATTTTATTTGAAACTCACTTTTCTTCAGGAAGGCCAATTACAAGCAACTTGTCAGATTCTTTCCAGTAAACAACTTGAACCAGTTTTCCACATAAGAAAAGGGAGGAACTAGAAAAATTAAACCAGAAGTACTTCTGTTAACATGATGAAGTTATAATAGATGACCATTCTAAGTCAGAATGATGTTTATGTATTTTACATGCAGAGTCTTATGCTCATGTATAATCACAAGCACGCAACTGGGCTAGGTAATGCTATTATCACAGAACTCAAAGACTGATTTCTATTCCAAATAGATCACACCAGTAGTAACAACATTTTCAAGCATATAAATACAAAGGATGAACTACTGAAGCGCCACCATCGTCTTCTGAATGATTCGGATACTCTTTAGAGGTCTTCCTGCCTAGCTTTTAACACAATCAACTCAGAAAATGAATGCCATTTCACATCTTGGTGGGGTAACTGGAGGTACTAATAAAGGTTCTGAACACACTAAGTCGCTCATAAAATCATTTAAAAAGACCTCACGTTTTGAAAACAAGCCAAGAGATGTTTGAACATATTACCAGAGTGATAAACATAAGCCTGAACTCTCATGCTGTCTCCTTGTATAGAAAATTGCTCTACAAAGCTCAGCAACTTCAGAAAGACACAGAGAAGTTTCATCTGAACCAGAGAGGATCAGAACATGAAACAGAATTAGACCCAATGTTCTAATTAGCAGTAAACCATATATAATATACCAGATTATCAGATTAAATGTACTGATTGCTGCTAAATCCAAGGTCTGTAAATAGCTTGAACACTGAATTTACAGCAAAATTCCACCTTTCTTATTACCATGTTATAAATTTTAAATAACAAGATAACACTGTTGCAAAGTGAAAAAAGGGTAACTTTAGTTTAAGCTTGAAAGTTTCAAGAATTTAATTTTTAGGATATGGCTCCATGATTTATTTGCTTCAGTGATTCACTCATGCTGTAAAATTGATGGTACTGAACAAAACAATAGTGTCATTTCATTAGTTAAGAAATACCTCAGAAATTTTCTGGTGACCTGCAGAAATACTATCTTTCATGTAACCAAAAGTGCTTTCCAAACAAAATAAATTATAGATTTATAACACAATTAACAATAAAGAAATAAATATCCCAGTCTCAAAACATACAAAATACATGTGCAGACACAATAATCGTAACTTACTTTTCTGACAGAAAAAGCTTCATAGGAGAGCTGGGGGCTATCTATTATATTTTTTGAAAAGATAACACAGTCCACAGAGACCAGCAGAAGTGCTTTTATATTTTTAGAACTCAAAACCAGGAAATTGAGAACCTTAACAGGAAAGATGAATCTATGTTATCATGGATTTCTGTATTATTTTTCTGATGATACCGTAGGTATAGATCAAACAACACACTGATTTGTCTTTTGGATGTGTTTGAAAATCAGGACATGTCCAAAAATGCTTCTGTATGGGAAAATTTCCATTAATAATGCATAAGCATTTGAGAGGAGCTAACATACCTCATGCTAATTAATGCGGCATTGCATTAAAATACTGGCATATGCAAAAGATCAAAAGCCTGTGTTTGATACCTGCTGCTAAAGGAGTCAATCCACAGTTCTATGGATCACTAAATCAGTAACATGACTTTTAGTAACTTTTTAACTAGAAAGTTATAAGCATGGTTAAAGCACAGTGTTAAAACTTCGTACTCAAAATAGCAGGATACTAGCAAGTCTGAGAAAAAAAAAATAAATTAAAAGAAACAAATGTAAAAAAAAAAAAGTAAATTAACCGGTATTAATTTTCTGGTAAACAAAAATATTCAAAAGTACTTCAAGAACTCCTTTTAAGGAAGAATTTATCAGTGGGAAATCCAACTTAAATATATTAAACAGGCTTTTTGCCTTTTGAGGAATTCTCTGCTACTGCCAATGCTGCTCACTACTGCACTATTGCTTGCACTCAGTATTCTGGGGCCGGAAATCCCACTTGCATTTGACTTTTTTATACCCATCCAGGTCTTGTGTCTGACACACAAGGCACTGATGTGCAGAAAAGCATCTTCCCCAAGAGATGCAAACTCATATACTGATTCTCAATGGGAAGAAGTATGAAACTGAAAAGTGATACCTGCTATCTCACTTCTAATTATTCCATCAGAATATCATCTACCTTTAAATATTCAGTCATCTCTTGACCTGTCTCCACCACCCATACAATGCTGCAAAAACTTAGGAATCAATTTTATTAAACGTCTTACTAGAGTCCTGGTCTGTGAATACAAAAATCTTTCAGGTGTTGCAAGTTGAATGTGAAATAAAATTAATTTTAAAGTAGCAGGGACTCATTAATTTAGTTGAATTACATTTTATCTTTTTTAAATTTTTTTTAGAATTTGATTGAAGCTGTTGTAGAATTTCCAGGCTGCCATAGTACAGTGCTACAGAATCCCAGTTTAGTGAAGGATGTTTTAAGAGATCTCTAAGAAGGGACCTAAAAACAATTTCAGTGAACTAAAATTCCTAGTCATTGCCATTCCCCCAAAGGAACGCACATCCAGGCTGAGCAGTCCAACTTCAAGCATGCTGCTCTAGTTAAAACATTACTACCTAACAGGTAGAGTCACTCTTCTTTTGTCTAGAGCCTGATGCGTGACCCATGTGTGTTCTTCTGTACAAATACATATAAAAGAATAAAAGTAGCAAGATATTACATTGCAAATGCTTTTACCTGATAATCTGGGTACCAGTAACACTTTCCAGTATGTCAGACAGTGTGAGAAATATTCCTCTCACACTTTTCAGTTTTTGGGATGCTTCTGATATGGGGTACTGATAAAGAATTTCTTGCTGTGAAAAAAGTTAGCTGTTAGTTAAGCAAAGCAAAATCAGTAACAAAAATCACAAAAAAAAACCCATAGAAAACAAGATAATTTTTTTTTCCAGGTATCAATTTTTTTTTAAACATGAAAGCTTTTCTCATGTACTTTCACATGACAACAAAACAAGCAGTGGTTTGCACAGGCATGCTGGAAAGTTCTAAAATGCAAATGAATGTTTCTGACAGTTTTAACTTTTTTATTTCATGGAAAAGGAGGACTTACTTAAAATCCTTATTTTATGGAGAGACATAAAATGACAAACAGTATGACCACTGCATTTTACAGCTTAACATTTACAGCTTAACTTTACAGCACAGTTAACAAATCTGATTCCAAGAGATAGCTAATACTTGTATGGTTCTTTCAATAGTTCAATTGTGATTTAAATCATCAAACATACAGCTCTTTAAATCCAACAATAAGAATATAAAAGCCTCTCTATATAACCCTAATTGCTTTACATGCATAGCACAAAACATAACTGAGGTATATATTCAAATAACATATACACCATTAACAATTTTATCACCAAACCTCTGACCATCTGTGTCAGCATATTCTTGAAGTCATCTTGAAACTGAAGATCAGTAGAGATAAATACTTGTGATAATGATTTTTCTTCTTCTAACCAGTTCTTAAAATTTTTTATGCAAGGATTTTCAAAAATTTTATATTTATTATTTTAGCAACCATAAAAATATAGTAAGAAGCAATTGTACAATTCCCCTACATTTATTGCTTTCTGCCAAATCACGATGGGCCAGAAATGCATTTAATCTTAAGCATATCCAACGCAAAGACTACAGTAAATTATCTTTCAACACAAACAAAAGAAACACAGACATGATTAACTTCCCTATTTATGTTGCGAAGCACATCCAGCCAGTGCCAATACCCGACGGAAAATTTTCCTTCATCAAGATTAAAAGAATGTAAAGTTTCATTAGAGAAGGACCTGGCAAACTCTTCATTCTTATCCAATTTAATTAGCTCTATTTTCAAATACTCATTAGTGACACAGATTTTTTTTCTTTGAATCAATCCCTCAGCTAGAAAAAAACCTG